AGGCCAGGGCAGATGCAATGGGCTCTGCCCAGCCTCAAACAGACACAACAGGCTCTGCCCAGCCCCTGGCTGTGGCCAATTCCCAAGGTGAAGCCTTGCCTAGTATGAAGAATAAGGTTAGGGGTAAGTCCAATGCTGTGTCTAAGATAGGGGCTGGGCCAGATACAGTGAACTCTGCCCAGCCTCAGGTTGTGGCCAGTTCCCAAGGTGAAGTTTTGCCTGGGACTAAGAAGAAGATCAGGGGTAATCCCAGTGCTGTGTCTAAGGCAGAGGCCAGAGCAGATACAATGGGCTCTGCCCAGCCTCAAACAGACACAACAGGCTCTGCCCAGCCCCTGGCTGTGGCCAATTCCCAAGGTGAAACCTTGCCTAGTATCAAGAATAAGTTTAGGGGCAAGTCCAATGCTATGTCTAAGACAGGGGCTGGGCTAGATACAGTGGGCTCTGCCCAGCCCCAGGCTGTGGCCAATTCCCAGGGTGAAGTCTTGTCTGGTACTAAGAACAAGGTCAGGGGCAATCCCAGTGCCGTGTCTGAGGCAGAGGCCTGGGCAGATGCAATGGGCTCTGCCCAACCTCAAACAGATACAGCAGGCTCTGCCCAGGCCCTGGCTGTGGCCAATTCCCAGGGTGAAGCCTTGCCTAGTATCAAGAATAAGGTTGGGGGCAAGTCCAGTGCTGTGTCTAAGATAGGGGCTGGGCTAGATACAGTGAACTCTGCCCAGCCTCAGGTTGTGGCCAGTTCCCGAGGGGAAGTCTTGCCTGGGACTAAGAACAAGGTCAGGGGAAATTCCAATGCTGTGTCTAAGACAGGAACTGGGCCAGATACCGTGGGCTCTGCCCAGCTCCAGGCTGTGGCTAATTCCCAGGGTGAGGCCTTGCCTGGTGTCAAGAAAAAGGTCAAGGGCAACCCCAGTGCTTTGTCTAAAGCAGGGACTGGGCCAGTTACAGTGGGCTCTGCCCAGCTCCAGGCTGTGGCCAATTCCCAGTGTGAAGCCTTGCCTGGTGTGAAAAATAAGGTCAGCAGCAATCCCAATGCTGTGTCTAAGGTAGAGGCCAGAGCAGATATAACAAGCTTTGCCCAGCTTCAGGCTGAGTCTAAGTCCCAGGGTGAAGCCTTGCCTGGTGCCAGGAGTAAGGTCCGATGTAATCTTAGTGCTGTGTCTAAAGCAGACACTGGGCCAGACACAATGCGCTCTACCCAGCCGCAAACTGTGACCAATTCCCAGGGTGAAGCCTTGCCTAGTGTCAAGAATAAGGTCAGGGGCAATCCCAATGCTGTGTGTAAGATAGAGGCCAGGGCAGGTGCAGTGGGCTCTGCCCAGCCTCGAGCAGATAAAACAGGCTCTGCCCAGCTCCAAGCTGTGACCAATTCCCAGGGTGAAGCCTTGTCTGGTACTAAGAGTAAGGTCAGAAGCAATTCCAATGCTGTATCTGAGGCAGAGGCCAGGGCAGATATAACAGGCTCTGCCTGGCCTCAGGCAGTGGCCACTTCCCAGGGTAAAGTTTTGCCTGGTACTAAGAATGTCAGGGGCAATCCCAATGCTGTGTCAAAGGCAGAGTTTGGGGCAGATACAATGGGCTCTGCCCAGCCTCAAACAGAAACAACAGGCTCTGCCCAACTGCTGGCTGTGGCCAGTTCCCAGGGTGAAGTCTTAGCTGGTACTAAGAATAAGGTCCGGGGCAATCTCAGTGCTGTGTCTAAAGCAGGGATTGGGCCAGATTCGGTGGGTTCTGCCCAGCCCCAGGCTATAGTCAATTCCCAGGGTGAAGCCTTGCCTAGTGTCAAGAATAAGGTCAGAGGCAATCCCAATGCTGTGTCTAAGGTAGAGGCCAGAGCAGATACAGCAAGTTTTGCCCAACCTCAGGCTGTGTCTTATTCCCAAGGTGAGACCCTGTCTGGTGCCAGGAGTAAGGTCCAGGGCAATCCCACTGCTATGTCTAAGGCAGGCACTGGGCCAGATATAATGTGTTCAGCTCAGCCTCAAACAGATATAACAGGCACTGCCCAGCCCCAAGCCATGTCTAATTCCCAAAGTGAAATCTTGCTTGGTGCCAGAAATAAGGTCAGGGACAATCTCGATGTGGTATTTAAGGCAGGGGCTGGGCAAGATAAAATAGGCTCTCTTTCACCAAAGGCCGTGGCCATTTCTCAGGGCGAGGCCCTCCTTGGTGCCAGAAGTAAGGTCAGGGGAAATACCAATGCTGAGTCTAAGGTAGAGGTTGGGGCACATATGATGGGTTCTGGTCAGCCTCAGTCTGCAGCCCATTCCCAGAGTAAGATCTTGTCTGGGACAAAGGACAAGGCTATACCCAAGCCTGAGGCAGATGAGGGCTATGCAAAGCCCAAGGCTGAGGCCACACCCACTGTTGAGAGTGGGGGTGGGACAGGCACTCAGGCCTGCAGAAAGACTCGGCCTAGGGTCCATGACTACTACTGGAATGGGATTGGTATTCAGGATTGGATTGCTTCTGAGCGATGGATCAAATTTAGGTTTCAGGCCAGGGATGGATACTGGGAGAATAGCATGTCCTGGGCTGATGATGAGAATGAAGCCAGTATTGAGTCCTGGAGTGGGGCTAGTGATAAGTCTGATATTAGATCCTGGGCTGGGGCTAAGGCTGAGAATGAAGTTGGTTTTCCATCCTGGGCTACAGCCGGGGACCAGGCCTGTGGGGGGCTCTGGGTTGGGAGTCAGGCCAGTGGGGGTTCTTTGTCAGAGGCCGGGGACATGGCCATTGGAGCATCTGGAATTGGGGCTGAGAACCAGACCAGTGGGGTGTCTTGGGCTAGCACTGGGAACCAGGCTACTGGGGAGCCCTGGGCTGGAGGTCAGGCCAGTGGCGTGTCCTGGGCTGGGGAAGATGCCATTGGAGGGTCCTGGATGGGAGCTGAGGAACAAGACAGTGGAAGGTCCCGGGATGGGGCTGGGATTCAGGCTAATGGAGGGTCCTGGGCTGAAGCTGGAGCTGGGAATGTGGCTAGTATTGGGCACTGGCCTGGGGATATGGACCAGGCTAGTGGAGGGTACTGGGTTGGGACTGGTGACCTGTCTGGTGGATCCAAGCCTAGATTTGAGGATCAGGCCAGTGAAGATATGTCCTGGGCTGACACAGCCGACCAAGCCAGTGGAGGGTCCAGGCTGAGGTCTGTGGACCAGTCTGGTGGTGAATCCTGGGCTAGGGCTGGGGAACGGGCCAACAAAGGTTCTAGGCCAAGGTTTGTGGACCAGTCCAGTGTTGGGTCCTGGGCTAATACTGGGAATCAGGCCAGTGGAGGATTCTTGGTTGGGACTATGGACCGGGCCAGTGGGAGGTCCTGGTCTGGGACTGGTGATCAGTCTGGTGAGTCCAAGCCTGGATTTGAGGATTTGGCAAATGTAGAAGTGTCTTTGGCTAGGGTTGGTGGCCAGGCTGGTAGAGGGCCTAGGTTGGGGCCTGAGGACCAGTCCAGTGGAAGGTCCTGGGCTGACTCTGGGGACCAAGCCAGTGGAGGGTTCTTGGTTGGGGCTGTGGACCAGGCCAATGGAGGGACCTGGGCTGTACCTGGGGATCAGGCTGGTGGTGGGACAAAGCCTAGATCTGAAGAGCAGGCAAGTGGAAGAGGGTCTTGGGCTGATAATGGGGGCCAGGCTGGTGGAGGGTCTAGGCTGGGTCCCAAGGACCAGTCCATTGGAGATTCCTGGGCTGGCACTGGAGACCAGTCCAGTGAAGAACGTAGGCCAGGGCCTGAGGATCAGTCCAATGGATGGTTCTGTGCTTGCAGTGGGAGTCAGGCTAATGCAAGTGGGTCCTGGGGTGGGGCTGGTGGCCAGGTTATAGGAGGATCTAGACTAGGACCCACGATCCCATCCAGTGGTGGGTCCTGGGCTGATGCTGGAAGTCAAGTCAGTGGAAGGTCTTGGGCTGGGACTGGAGATCAGGCTAGTAGCTGTCCCAAACCTGGATTTGAGGATCAAGCCAATGGAGGAGGGTTCTGTTCTAGTGCTGAGGACCAGGCTGTTGGAGGGTCCAATCCAGGGCCTGCAAACCAGTCCAGTGGTGGGTCCAGGCCTGGCACTGGGAGTCAGGCCAGTGGAAGGTCCTGGGCTGGGGCTGGGGGTCAGGCTGATAGTGGTTCCAAACCTGGATTTGAGGACCCAGCAGGTAGAGAAGGCTCCCAGCCTGGCACTGGGGATCAGGCTAGTGGAAAATCTTGGGCTGGGTCTAGGCCTGGTAATGAAGCCAGTAGAGGGTCCAGGCTGGGGCCCAAGGACCAGGCAAGTGGAGGGCCCTGGGCTACGGCTGGTGACCAGGCCAGTGGAAGACCCCAGATCAGTGCTGAGATGGAGGCCAGTGAAAGATCCTGGTTTGGGACTGGGGGTGAGACTAGTACAGGGTGCTGCTTCAGGAGAGGGGAAGAGGCTGGTATTGTATCCAAACCCGGAGGTAAAAATGAGGCCAGTATTGAATCCAGATCAGGGGCTAAAGAGGAGGCCGCCATTAGTTCCAGATCTGGGGCTGAAGATAAGGCCAATATTGGGTCCTGGATCAGATCTGAAGAGGCAGACTGTATGGATTCCTGTATGGGGGCTGAGGCTGGGGCTGGGGCAGAGGTCAGGAAGGAGTCTTGGCTTTGGGATGGAGATGCAGCCACTACAGGGTCTAGGCTTGGGGCTGAGGAAGAGGTTTGCATGGGGTCATGGACCTGGGCTGAGGATGTAGATGAGGATGAGCTAAGTAGAGCATCTAGCCCTGATATTGAGGAGATCAGTTTAAGGTCCTTGTTTTGGGCCGACAGTGAGAAGAGTAATGAGTTCAGATCCGAGAGGGAGAGAAATGTCAATTTTGAGTGTGGAGCTGGAGATAAGGCCAGCGCCAAGGATAACTTTGAGGCACCAACTGCCGGTGGAGTTGATGAAAGGTCTTGGTTCTGGGATGGTAATGAAAACACAAGTGAGGACAAATCTGCACCTAAGACTAAAGCCAAAAAGTCAGCTGAGTCAAGAGGCACATATCCATCCATGGTCCCTGGGGCAGGAATGGGGTCATGGGCAGGAGCCATGATCTGGACGGAAATGAAATTTCCATACCAAAATAAGTCCTGCTTCCCACCTGAAGATGAGCTAAGAAAGCAGATCAGGGATGAGGAGAAAACTCAGCCCTGGACCTGTCGCTGTAAACGTGAAGCTAATATGGATCCACGAGAGCTTGAAAAACTCATTTGCATGATTGAGATGACTGAAGATCCTTCTATTCATGAAATAGCCAATAATGCCCTTTATAACAGTCCCGATTATCCGTTTTCCCATGAAGTCATTCGAAATGCAGGTAGAATCTCAATTATTGAAAGTTTGCTCAATAATCCCTATCCCAGTGTTAGGCAGAAGGCTTTAAATGCACTGAATAACATCTCAGTGGCTGCTGAAAATCATAGGAAGGTGAAAACATACTTAAACCAAGTATGTGAAGACACAGTCACCTATCCCTTGAATTCAAATGTCCAGCTAGCTGGACTAAGACTGATAAAGCACTTGACTATTATTAGTGAATATCAGCATATGGTTACAAATTATATTTCAGAATTTCTTCGTTTGTTAACTGTGGGAAGTGGAGAAACAAAAGACCATATTTTGGGAATGCTTTTGAATTTCTCTAAAAATCCATCTATGACAAAAGACTTACTCATTGCCAATGCACCAGCGTCACTGATTAATATCTTTAGCAAGAAAGAGACAAAAGAGAATATTCTTAATGCTCTTTCACTATTTGAAAATATAAATTATCATTTTAAAAGAAGGGCAAAAGTGTTTACGCAGGACAAGTTCAGTAAAAATTCTCTTTATTTCATATTCCAACGACCTAAAGCATGTGCCAAGAAACTCCGAGTCTTAGCAGCAGAGTACAGTGACCCTGAGGTGAAAGAAAGAGTTGAGCTATTATTAAGTAAACTCTGATTAGTTGTATGTTCCCAAACAAATCTGAGTAATATTTTGGTTTTGCAGTCTGGAAGTAATGCATATTGTAAATTGCATTACAACTTTGAAACTGATGTTACTTGTGATGGTCTGTAGCTGGATCACTTTATGAACACCAAATGTACTGGAAATACATGTGTTGATTATTACCTTGTCTGGATTGAGATATTTTTAGTATGCTTCATGAGCAGAAACGACCTGATTCTTCATAAGTAAGGTAATTTTTGGTCCTTTGTGTGGACTTATGTTTCTACATTTGAGACTTTATTTTTATGTTATCAATAAAGTTGTGTGTTTTAAGAAGAAAAAAAGAGACACATCCTTGTCCTTGAGTTTATGATCTATTTGGAAAGGCAAGATGTATGGAAACAAAAATATACTAACAAAGCCACAAGCCTCTGATCATGACCAAACCCTTCCCGTCAGTGCAGAAACTTCTGCAGGCAGCAGTGCTCAGGCAATGCTTGTACAGAGGAGGGGGACACTTAGGTAAGCTGGGCTTGAAGGATAGGAAAAAAATAGGGCAGGAGAGCATTGGAGGAGGGAGGAGTGGTGGGAAGAAAGGCTTGGAGGCGGGAATCCTGCTTCGGAGAGGAGGCTGGCCTGCCTCGAGCTCCAGGTGTGGGAGGGGAATGATGGGAAATGTAATCCATCAGTCTGGGTGAGCCCCTTCATGCAGGATCCCTTATTGCTAAACTGAGGTGTCTGATGTTACTCCATCCACCCCTGGGAGACCCCAAAGCCTTCTGTGACCAGAGGAATGAAAATGAAAGGACAGGGATGTAGCTGATGTGTGTGCAGGATGTGTCAGAGTTTGGGGTGGGGACAGATGTGGCCACTGGAGATTGGAACAGCAGTTAGGAAGTCACTGTCATGGTCCAGGCACGAGATGATAAAAGTGTGAGACTTCACTACCAGCCACGAGAATGGCAAAGGGAAGAAGGAAATGAGAGGCTGTTTGAACAAAGAAGTGATAGAACATATCTTGAGGGCATACAGAGAGGTATAATTTTATTTTAGGGTCCTGGTGGCATTTAATTCGAAAACGTTCTCTTTCTGGGCCAACTCTGGGGTCGATGTAAGTAAATACATTAGGTTATTATTTTGAAATAATAAAGTATAATAGAAGAAAGAACAACGTTTAGTGCTTCTATCAGATTTCTTTTAGAAGGTTGACTGAGGCAGGGCTTTGTGGAACCATTGAGAGTGGTGTTGGCATCAATACTGTAGAAGACCCACCTCTCTCCCACCCTAGAGTGTGGTGAGGGTATGGTGGGGGGGGACGTTCTCAAACTGGGCTGGTGGGAGCATACATTGGTACAAGGTCCATTTGGATACATGTTCCAGAAGCCTTAAAGATGTGCATACTCTTTGAGCCAGTAATTCTACTCGTAGAAATTTATCTATAGAAAATGATCACATAGTTGGCTTGTACAAAGCTGTGCATCTTCATACTGTTTTGAAGAGTGGAAACATGTGAATGACCCAAGGGTTTCAGAATAGGCACTTGGCTGAAAAATTAGGGTGTGTCTACACAATGAAAAAACATCTTGCAGCAATTGAAAATGGTGGTGGGCATCTACACTCATTTACTTGGAAAAAATTCAGCATATAATCTTAAATGGGGAAAAGAAGCTGTAAGAGCACACGCTATACTTTTTATAAAGAAAAAGTGTATATTTAAATTATCTCATGTATAAGCTTTGGCGTGTACTTTGAGGTTAATAGTGTCCTATGGGTGTTAGGTTAATGGGTAATTTTACCTGTTTTTTACTCATCTGTATTTTCTGATTTTTATATAATACACAACAAGAATTTTTACATAATTTACCAAGAGGAAATGGATGGGCTTGGGCTAAGCAGACCGGTCAGTAGCATTTCAGGGAACCAGAGCAAAAGTATAAATGGAGGCTCACATATTGATGTCTAGATATTTGGAAGGTATAAATTAAAATTTTAATAAATAAATATTTAAATAAAGCTGTAAATGTACGTGTAAATGTTTGAAAATTTAAATCTTACTCACCGTTTTAAAAGTATAACTGTTGTCAATTCTATTATTCAATGGCCACTAAATTTCTAGTGGAAAAAAATGATGTCGTACTTGTGATAGTTTCTGCAATCTGCTGCCCTAATCCTCCTTCAGGAATAAAGAGGTTATTATTTACTTGCTAGGAGTGCTGCCAACAGACAGCCCTCAGCTGTCATCCCTTTTCAGGAACTGCTTTAACAGGAAAGTCACCTCCTCCAAGGTTATACCCTCTTCCTGGGGGTACTTCCATCTGATGGCTGATTGACATGGCCCTTCTTGCCCCAAAAGGGACAACTTAACTTCTCCCTCTGTCCAATCCTGCTTCCTTCTCTTCCCTTCCACAGATTTTGATCTCAAGAGCATTCCCTAGTAAAAGCCCTTCATGCTGAACTCTGAGTCTGCTCTCCAGGAAGCCAACCTACAACAGTTGGTATGAGGAGTAGTTCAGGAAAACATACACTGTGATGAAATTTTGGAGATGAATCACCTGCTGCCCAGCTGGCAATGAGGACCCCATCACTGATGGTAGGTGGAGTAGATAAGCACCTGGGACAGGTGACAGAGGAAGTGTTAGAGCTTTCACTGATAGCAAACTGGGACGGCACTGCTGGAAGGGAAAGCATTAACCGGTTCTATGTAGCAGAATTTTGAGAAATAGGTGGGAAATATTAAATATAAGGAAGGCCAGAAAATTGGGTAGCTATTTCTATGCTTGATTGACTTCTAGAAAAAAAATAATGAGAAGCCAACTTAAATTATTCAACAATTAAGTGCTGTATGTGAAAGCCAGAGGGTTTCATTCATAGCATATAAAAGAGGCCCTCCTCTTTTCCAGGTAGAGGGTAGAGAAATCTGAGGACCAGGCCCAGGACTTACTGAACGCAAGCTTCAAAGGAAGTTAAAATCCCAACCAAGACAAGTCTGCTATGCCAAGATCAGAGCCCTGGTTAGGAAGGCGTGGGACCCTGGCACATGGGATGGGGGCTTCTGGATTAACATCCCTAAAAATCTTGTATCTTCAGATTTTCCTGGACACCTTGAACATTCAGAAGGGTCCCACTCCTTCCTATTAAGGGCTAGTGCTTCATCTTGCTTGATCCTGCAGAACCCTTTCTCCTGTAAGACAATATGCATTTCCCTCAGAATCTGCCCCACTTCCCATCTTGGCCACTGGGCCTATATATAAAGTTAAGTCACAGCATAGCTTCACTGGGGATGTGCTGGGCCTAAGCAGGAAGGAAAGGGACTACCCCAAGAAGAAGCTATAGGACCTAGCCAGCATGTACTAGCAGGTGCTGAGGGGGGAAGCACGGGACTGAATTCTGAGGGCCTTGATCAGGGGAGCTGGAATATAAAATTGAATAAGGGAAAATTAATTGTTTTGAGAGTTCTCTCCCAAAATACAGTATTTAACCCCTCCCCCTGGGAAGGACCCCGGGAGATCAAGTGAACTCAATACTAGAATGGCTTCTCAGAGTGCGGGAGGAAAAAAAAAAAAGAATTAAGTAAAGTATAAATGCCAAAGTTGTCATAGCAGACTGGGGAGAAAGGATTAAAGGCTCAGGGAAGTGGGAATGATAGAATAAATATGTATGTCCAGAAAACGCTCTGGAGGACTAGGTTCTGCAGGAGGACCCAAAAGGCACACTATTTGCTAAAGCTGCAAGGAATGCACTGGTGAGAGGAATGGCAGCATTGCTAAGAAGTTCAGTGGTGGCTTGCCTTTGCAGGCCAGGGCTCAGAGTAGGAGAGGATGTTAGACGATGAAGGATCACTGATAGAACGGTGATGTCCTAAAACAATAGAGGCGGGATGACGGCACATAACCATCAGAAGTCGGTTGGATGCAAATATCATAATGCACTGCAGGGTCAGAGTGAGAGGCAGGGGGCCTGATCTGCAGAGACCTGTGGGGAGGGTTAATAGAACACAATGCTCCTGGTGAATAGATGGTTAAGAGGTAGTTAGTAGATTATGTGGTCAATATAACACAGTGCCCTGGGGAAAATAAGCAGCCAACAATCTGTACTCAATGTGAACAACCAAAAGAAATCAAAGATGGTCAGGAGTCTGAAGGACAGTGCCTCAGTAAAAAGTCACAATTCCTTGCTCAGCTTCTGATCCTAAGCCAGTTTTTGAACCAGGGTGCACTGTTTGAAGGAGGGGCTGAAGGAGAGGCTGGGGTGCCCAGGAAGAAGAACCCTATAACATACGTGTAGTAATGATTTGTCTAGTCCTTCTATTTATGCATGCAAGTGTATGCAGGGGAAAGAGGAATACCCAAACATTTTGAGGCCCAATAGACACTGGTTATGAGTTGATAGACCCAGAGACCTAAAATGTCATCATGTCCCCCTTCTTAGAGTAAGGGCAGATGGGAGCCTGGTATTAAATGGACTCCTGGCCTGTGTTGGGTTCAGAGTGGTTCCACTGGGTCCACAAGCCTACCTAATGGCTATATTCTTGGTCTCTGAATGTAGAACTGGAATAGACGTTTCGGTAGTTGGTACAAACCCTATATTGGTTTCTTGACTTGTGGAGTCAGAGCTAAATATTTGTAGGTGAAAAGCAGAAGTTTCTGAGATTGCCCTCGCCTTCCTCAGCCAAGATAGTAAATGAAAACATATAGCATCTCGGGGAGGATGGCAGAACTTAGCGCCACCTTTGAAGACCTAAAGATTGCTGGGATTGTGGCCCCTATCATATCTACATTTAATACACCAGCTTGGGCCCCTGCAAAATGTGGGCAGAGCCTGGTAGATGACAGACCCTTGCAAACTCAACCAAGTAGTGATACAAGTGCAGCCACCATGTTAGATGTAATATCTTTGCTAAAGCAGAATAACATGACCTTAGATACCTAATAATTAGCTATTGCTTTGGAAAATGTAGTTTCATATCCCTATCAGAATAAAATGTCAGAAAGTGTTCATGTTCAACAGTATGCATTTATAGTTTTTCCTCAAAGGTCTACAGCTCTCCTGTCCTCTGTTATATTATAGTCTGGAGATAGCTGGACCATCTGAATATAATACTAGTCCACTATGTTGATGACATCATGCTAATTGGACCAAAATGAGTAAGAAGTGGTTAGTGGGTTGGAGGCCTTGGTGAGACACATGTATTCGCCATGATGGGAGGTAAACCCTATAAGATCCATGGGCTGGCCACATTAAGTGCAGGGTTTAGAGTTTGAATGATCAGGGGGG